GCTTCATGGTGAGAGCTTCATGGTGAGAGCTTCATGGTTAGAGATTCATGGTGACAGTTTCATAGTGAGAGCTTCATGGTTAGAGATTCAAGGTGAGCACTTCATAGTGAATCCTTCATAGTGAGAGCTTCATGGTGAGCGCTTCATAGTGAAAGCTTCATGGTGAGCGCAAAACGTGGCCTGGTTAGGGGGGGAGGGGGGATCCTTGGAGGGGGAGTGGCTAAATAACGTATTTATTTATTTTCCCCCATTTCTATCTGAATTCTTTATTTATGTAGCGATCCTTTTGTTTATATCGGCGTTCTTGATTGGCCGCGGGCGCGTTTTATAGGGACACGCGATGTCGCTCGGTTTGTATTTTATTCATTTAAAGGGACAGCGCACTATTTATTGAGATCGCTACAATGATTTTTTTTTAACGAGTTTTTGCAAAAATAGAACAAAAAACCAGCAAAAATGGCAGCGAAAGGGTTAAATAATCATCGCCGCTAGGAAGGGGTGTGTCGGTAAATTTTGCCCCCATCTCACCTGCGGCGGGGGGGGGCGGTAATGAAGCCGCTGCACCTTTCACCAGCACACAATTCGCAGACTCTTGGACTCCTTTAGGCGGGATCCTTGAATAGCGCCATTCACTGGCAGATCGAATTTCTCCAATCCAGCCAGAACGTGGCGGCTGACACAGACGCGTGGCATGAAAATCAACATTTCTGATGTTTTTGGCTCTTTGATGGTTTGGACGGATGAATGCGCCTCCCACGTGAAATGTACCCCCCCCCCCCCCCCCCCCCCGCAATGAATGGCTCCCTTTGATTAGCGTCCGGTATTGTTTTTGATGTTGGGCGCACGCGGCGATGACGTTCATCGGTGTGGAAGTAAGCCGGCGTTATTGTCTGCGTGGATCTGTGCCCCCCCCCCCTCGGCTTCCACGCCTACGCCGTGCTTTCATCGCCGCCATACAAGGCCACCTATGCATGTTGCTGTTTATACAGCTGGACCCCGCGGACGGCTACCGTTCTGAGATGAGGGGGCTCATTTGTAGGAGGGACCCCCCCCCCCACCTCGTGACGTTCGGTTTGCTGGATGTGTATTATAAACAACTGCCATTTTTTTGTTTTAAATAAAATTCTGCTTTCTTTTATTTTCCTCCTTTGTTGTATCTCAGCTCTGCGGATCGCCTGCAGCCTATTTGCCGCCACTTCCGGTCTATGAGGACCCCAGCGATGGCTGCCTGGCATGTTTCAGGGTACAGGATGGTGACAACGGCGGGCCATGGCTGTGTAAACAGCCGCTTGTAGTCATCCCCAGTGTGGTAAAGCGGGGGGGGGGGGATTTGGAAGATGTGTTGTCACCCGATAACAGGAAGTGCTTCAACATGGCGGGATCACTGGGGAGTTTATTTTTAAAGCTGCAAAATAACTTTGAAATGACATCCACTTGTGGCCGCTTTGTGAACCTGCGAGCAAAATCCGATGTTGGCGGCACCCAAATGTGGCGAGCAAACGCTGGACGAATTATTATTATACGGGATTTATGGCGCGAACAGTGTGCGCAGCGATGTACAACATGAGGGCAGACAGGACAGCTACAATACGATTTGGTACAAGAGAAAACCGAGGGCCCTGATCCTGGGAGCTTACAATCTAAGAGGGAGGGCCTGATCCTGGGAGCTTACAATCTAAGAGGGAGGGCCTGATCCTGGGAGCTTACAATCTAAGAGGGAGGGGCTGATCCTGGGAGCTTACGATCTAAGAGGGAGGGGCCTGATCCCGGGAGTTTACAATCTAAGAGGGAGGGGCCTGATCCTGGGAGCTTACGATCTAAGAGGGAGGGGCTGATCCTGGGAGTTTATGATCTAAGAGGGAGGGGCCTGATCCTGGGAGCTTACGATCTAAGAGGGAGGGGCCTGATCCTGGGAGTTTACGATCTAAGAGGGGGAGGGCCTGATCCTGGGAGTTTACAATCTAGGAGGGAGGGGCCTGATCCTGGGAGTTTACAATCTAAGAGGGAGGGGCTGATCCTGGGAGCTTACAATCTAAGAGGGAGGGGCTGATCCTGGGAGTTTACAGTCTAAGAGGGAGGGGCTGATCCTGGGAGCTTACAATCTAAGAGGGAGGGGCTGATCCTGGGAGCTTACAATCTAAGAGGGAGGGGCTGATCCTGGGAGCTTACACTCTAAGAGGGAGGGGCTGATCCCGGGAGTTTACAATCTAAGAGGGAGGGGCTGATCCCGGGAGCTTACAATCTAAGAGGGAGGGGCTGATCCTGGGAGTTTACAATCTAAGAGGGAGGGGCTGATCCCGGGAGCTTACAATCTAAGAGGGAGGGGCTGATCCTGGGAGTTTACAATCTAAGAGGGAGGGGCTGATCCTGGGAGTTTACAATCTAAGAGGGAGGGGCTGATCCTGGGAGTTTACAATCTAAGAGGGAGGGGCTGATCCTGGGAGCTTACAATCTAAGAGGGGGGGGCTGATCCTGGGAGTTTACAATCTAAGAGGGAGGGGCTGATCCAGGGAGCTGACAATCTAAGAGGGAGGGGCTGATCCTGGGAGCTTACAATCTAAGAGGGAGGGGCTGATCCTGGGAGTTTACAATCTAAGAGGGAGGGGCTGATCCTGGGAGCTTACAATCTAAGAGGGAGGGGCTGATCCTGGGAGCTTACAATCTAAGATATCTGCACATTCCCAGAACGCTCGGGTGTCAGCCCAACCTCCAACATTTCCAAACCCCAAAACAAACGTCTATTTATTGCAGCTTAGCAGTCCTTAGGTGAGGCGGCTGCATTCGTTTTCTTTTCTGTTTTTTTTTTCTTTAATTTTTTCAGCAGGTGATCCTGCCAGTAACACACTTCCTGTCCTAGGGTGACAACGCTGACTACACTGGGTCTATAGAGGAGAAGAGTTGTCACCCTAGGACAGGAAGTGTGTTTCTGGCAGGATCAGTGGCTGAAAATCTGGACTATAAGCACCTCCCTTTTCACATCTTTATTACATAGGGGGGAGGTGTTCTGTAGTTTTTCAGCTTATAACTAGGAAAGCTGAAATCATTGTTCGAGATATCAGTTCTGTTCACAAGAAGTCAGGACACTGGAATTCTGGATCAGCAAGTCGCCGGTCACAACGCTGCGATTTAAAATCATGCGATTTGAGCGCGATTTCTGAAAACTTTACTTGTGAAGATTTTAAACAATTTCCTGCATCTCATGAATGTGAATGTCGGTGTCGTCGTGCGATTTGCTGTGGTGTGATTTCTGCAGCAGCTCTTCTGTGACTTTTTCTGCAGTTTTGTTGCGATTTCACATCCATAGAATATAGCGCACATGGCAAGAAATTGTTGAAAATCTTCAGAAGTAGCAACAACCCCCCAGATGCGGGTCACATCGGCTGCGACGTGCCATGCGATGTGCCATGTGACGTGCCATGTGACGTGCCATGTGACGTGCCATGAAATGTGACGTGCCATGTGATGTGCCATGTGATGTGCTATGCGACGTGCCATGTGATGTGCCATGAAATGTGACGTGCCATGTGATGTGCCGTGTGATGTGCTATGCGACGTGCCATGTGATGTGCCATGAAATGTGACGTGCCATGCGATCTGCCATGCGATGTGCCATGCAACGTGCCATACGACTTGCCATACGATGTGCCATGTGACGTGCCATGTGATGTGCCATGCGATGTGCCATGCAACGTGCCATACGACTTGCCATACGATGTGCCATGTGACGTGCCATGTGATGTGCCATGTGACGTGCCATGTGACGTGCCATGTGATGTGCCATGTGACGTGCTATGTCACGTGCCATGCGATGTGCCATGTGACGTGCCATGTGATGTGCCATGCGATGCGGTCCGATTTCCATTCTATGTATGTGAAATCACAACAAAATTGCAGAAAAAGTCACTACTTTAGAAATCGCACCGCAGCAAGTCGCGCATGTTGAGACGGCGACATTCACATTCATTAGATGCAGGAATTCGTTGACAATCTTCACAAGTCACAATAAAGTCTTCATAAATTGCACCTGAAATTGCGCTGAAATCGCAGACAAATCGCAGTGCGGTGACCGGAGATTCGCCTGCAAGGTTCCGTCCTCGGGCCCCTTCTCTTCTCCATCTACACCTCCTCCCTTGGCCAACTCATACACTCTCACCACCTCTATGCCGACGACACACAAATCTATCTCTCAACCCCCCCACCTCACCCCCTCGGTCTCCGCCCCCCCCCACCTCACCCCCTCGGTCTCCGCCCGAATCACACACCTGCTGAGCGACATATCAGACTGGATGTCGCTCCACTTCCTTAAACTGAACCTCTCCAAAACCGAGTTTCTTGTCTTCCCCCCCCAGCCCGGACACCACCCCCCCCCATTGACTTCTCCATCACATCCAACAACGCCACCATCAAACCCGCCCTGCAGGCCAGAGTACTTGGTGTCATTCTGGACTCCAACCTATCCTTCCAGCCCCAAGTCCACTCTTTAACAAACTCATGCAGACTCCACCTCCGCAACATGCAGACTCCGCCTCCGCAACATCGCCAAAATCCGCACGTTCCTAACTCCAGAAACCACTAAACAGCTCATCCACTCCCTCATCATATCACGACTCGACTACTGCAACTCCCTCCTCACTGGCCTGCCTCGCCGCTGGCTATCCCCGCTTCAGTCCATCCTGAATACGGCTGCCAGACTCATTCACCTTTCCAACCGCTCCATCTCCGCCACCCCCCTCTGCCAATCCCTCCACTGGCCTCCATTCAGTGTCCACCACCCCCCCTCTGCCAATCCCTCCATTCAATGTCCTCCACCCCCCTCTGCCAATCCCTCCACTGGCTCCACTCAGTGTCCTCCACCCCTCTCTGCCAATCCCTCCACTGGCCTCCACTCAGTGTCCTCCACCCCCCTCTTCCAATCCCTCCACTGGCCTCCACCCCCCTCTGCCAATCCCTCCACTGGCCTCCACTCAGTGTCCTCCACCCCCCTCTGCCAATCCCTCCACTGGCCTCCACTCAGTGTCCTCCACCCCCCTCTGCCAATCCCTCCACTGGCCTCCACTCAGTGTCCTCCACCCCCCTCTGCCAATCCCTCCACTGGCCTCCACTCAGTGTCCTCCACCCCTCTCTGCCAATCCCTCCACTGGCCTCCATTCAGTGTCCTCCACCCCCCTCTGCCAATCCCTCCACTGGCCTCCACTCAGTGTCCTCCTCCCCCCTCTGCCAATCCCTCCACTGGCCTCCACTCAGTGTCCTCCACTCCCCTCTGCCAATCCCTCCACTGGCCTCCACCCCCCTCTGCCAATCCCTCCACTGGCCTCCACTCAGTGTCCTCCACTCCTCTCTGCCAATCCCTCCACTGGCCTCCACTCAGTGTCCTCCACCCCCCTCTGCCAATCCCTCCACTGGCCTCCACTCCGTGTCCTCCACCCCCCTCTGCCAATCCCTCCACTGGCCTCCACTCAGTGTCCTCCACCCTCTGCCAATCCCTCCACTGCCCTCCATTCACTGTCCTCCTCCCCCCTCTGCCAATCCCTCCACTGGCCTCCACTCAGTGTCCTCCACCCCCCTCTGCCAATCCCTCCACTGACCTCCACTGGCCTCCTCTCCCCTCTGCCAATCCCTCCACTGGCTTCCGATTGCGCAACGGATCAAATTCACAATCCTAACACTGACGTACAAAGCCGTCCACCATACTGCCCCGAACTACATCACTGACCTAATATCCAAGTACCCGCCCAACACGCACACTCCGCTCCTCACAAGGCCTCCTTCTCTCTAGTTCCCTGGTCTCCTCCTCCCATGCCCGCCTCCAGGACTTCTCCAGGGTGTCACCCATCCTCTGGAACTCCCTGCCCCAACCCATCAGATTATCACCTACTCTCCTCTCCTTTAGACGCACCCTGAAAACCCATCTCTTCAGGGAAGCCTACCCCACCCCCTGCTAACCTGCCGATCTCCTCCACTCCTCCTACCACTCCATCCCCCACAGCTATCTCCTCCTGTGCCACCATCCCCTCCCTCCTAGATTGTAAGCTCCAAGGATCAGGGCTCTCGTACCCCTCATGTATCACATTGTATTGGTATTGTTCTGTCACATGTTCTGTCCCCCTCTGTAATGTACAGCGCTGAGCGAACTATTGGCACTTTATAAATACTGTATAATAATAATATGTTACATTGTTGTTCTCTCATTGACATTTTACCATGTTGCAGCCCAGGATGTCAGTGATGGTGTTTCCATAAACGCACGGCCGTTCCCGGGACACATCGCAGCAGAATGGCGCTCCACGTTTCATTATTTATCTGTTTCTTTTTTATATTTTTATTTTGGAAATTTGAGGATTTTTTTTTTTTAACAGCAAATCCCAGAAGAGGAGAAACCAAGAAGAAGCCGAACTGCCAACCAAAGACTGCCACTGAGGAAGAGCTGGGAGGATATCCCCCTCAGTCATCCTCCTGCCAGGACATGACATGCTGAAGCCCCCCCATGGCAGCCTCCATGACCCCCCAGGAAAGGATCCATTAATTACATCACCTTTCTGCAGGGATGGTACAGGCCGACACTGACACCTGTCATCCAAGAGCGGTACTGCACCAGGTGGGGGGATCCCTTTTAAACATTTATGCAACCAGATTGATGAAAAAAATGTGCATTTATAATTTTTGCATTGCCTGCAGAGCATTACAATCAGTGTATCCCCTGCAGAGCATTACAATCAGTGCATCCCCCGCAGAGCATTGCAATCAGTGCGTCCCCCGCAGAGCATTGCAATCAGTGCATCCCCTGCAGAACATTGTAATCATTGCTTCCCCTGCAGAGCATTACAATCAGTGCATCCCCTGCAGAGCATTACAATCAGTGCATCCCCTGCAGAGCATTGTAATCATTGCGTCCCCTGCAGAGCATTACAATCAGTGCGTCCCCTGCAGAGCATTGTAATCATTGCGTCCCCTGCAGAGCATTACAATCAGTGTGTCCTCTGCAGACCATTGTAATCATTGTGTCCCCTGCAGAGCATTACAATCAGTGTGTCCCCTGCAGAGCATTGCAATCAGTGCTTCCCCTGCAGAGCATTGCAATCAGTGAGTCCCCCGCAGAGCATTGAGATCAGTGCATCCCTTGCAGAGCATTGTAATCATTGTGTCCACTGCAGAGCATTGTGATCAGTGCGTCCCCTGCAGAGCGTTGCGATCAGTGCATCCCCTTCAGAGCATTGCGATCAGTGCGTCCTCTTCAGAGCGTTGCAATCAGTGCGTCCCCTGCAGAGCATTGTGATCAGTGCGTCCCCTGCAGAGCATTGCAATCATTGCGTCCCCTTCAGAGCATTGCGATCAGTGCATCCCCTGGTCTGTGCGATGGCATGGACCCGCCATTATGGAGCTGGAGGAAGTAAATTCAGGACTGATGATGTCCTGCACTGGGCTCCATTGAGATCTACATGGTAGCAGATGGGATGTGTAGTCTTCCTTCCACAGAGTCTGACAATGGGTCCAAGGATTTCATCCCCATACCTAATGGCAGTCAGGGTGCCATTGTCTAGCCTGTAGAGGTCTGTGTCCCTCCATGGATATGCCCCCCCAGACCATCACTGACCCACCACCACAACAGTCATGCTGAACCATGTTACAGGCAGCAGAACGTTCTCCACGGCTTCTCCAGACCCTTTCACGTCTGTCACATGTGCTCAGGGGGAACCTGCTCTCATCTGGGAAAAGCACAGGGTGCCAGTGGTGGACCTGCCAATTCTGGGGTTCAATGGCAAATGCCAATCCAGCTCTATGGTGCCGGGCAGTGAGCACAGGGGCCACTAGAGGACGTCGGGCCCTCAGGCCACCCTCATGAAGTCTGTTTCTGATTGGTCAGAGACATTCACACCAGTGGCCTGCTGGAGGTCATTTTGTAGGTCATTTTGTTCCTCCTTGCACAAAGGAGCAGATACCGGTCCTGCTGATGTCTATGGACACACACAGCCCGGCTCTGGAGTGAAAATGCAGAGGTGACGTCATAGGACTCGGTTTGTTGCAGGAGGTATCCAGAGGAGGAGAATCTGTCGGTGATGATGGAGGACTCCAGAAGAGGAGGTAAGTGACCTTCCTATGGAATGGAATGACACAAAACAGGGAAGTATAACGACTTTATTATTTTCTTTTTTAACCTTTAGTTTTAATTTAAAGGGGAAACAGAAGAGCCAGAATATTCCGGATACGAAGGCTGAGGGGCGGAACTTCGTTCTCTTTGGATCTTTCCGGTGAGGTTCCTATAGCTGTGCTGCCAGTAAGGAAATCCGATAAATCTGCAGCCTGATGGGGAACCCGTCCTTGTGCCTAATGCCTGGAGGGATTCCTCGTCTGCTCACAGGAAACAGGATTCACCTTTCAGCCAGAAGACAGAGAAGAGTCAATAAACGCAACACTTTGTGCCAGAAACTCCGAATAAATCTTCCATGGATATAGAAAAATCCTGAAAAATAAATACAGAAATCCTGAATAATATTCATAATATATAAATAATAATAATAGAAACCCTGAATACTAATAATAGAAACCCTGAATACTAATAATAGAAACCCTGAATACTAATAATAGAAACCCTGAATACTAATAATAGAAACCCTGAATACTAATAATAGAAACCCTGAATACTACTACTATTACTACTATAATAAATGAATAATAATACTAATAATAATAATACCATAAATCCTGAATATAATGATAATAATAATAGAAACCCTGAATAATATTAATAATATAAATCCTATATAAGAAGAAACCTTTCCGTGTTTGGAGATTACATTTCTTTTCCTCCAGCCGAGTCCTATGACGTCACCTCTGCATTTTCACTCCAGAGCGCGGGCTGTGTGTGTCCATAGACACACACAGCGCTGGTAAGTCACGTCCCCCCCCCACTCCTTCCTCACAGGGGTGTGACTGACAGCAGAAGGAGCCTATGGCCGCTGGCCTGAGTTTCTGCTGCGAGTCCCGGAGCGGAGTTGGAGCCAGGTGAGTGTTCAGGCACAGAGGAGGGCAGGACAGGTATTGGGGTGCCTTTCACCTGAAGTGTTCATTCACCCTGGAATGCGGTGCGGGGGGGAAAATTCGATCTTTATCTGCTCAGCATTTCACCAGTAAAATTCGTCTTTCTTTTTAGTATGTTATAAATCATTAAAGGTCACCAACACATCGAACTCAGAAATAGGAAGATAGAAGTTTCCCGGAAGACATTTGTGAGGAAGCTCCTTGTCATTAGATGAGGGTTCTGATCCCGCGAGGAGCGGAGAGATGATGGCCGGCTACATTGTATCATTTCAGGAACAGACACTAATATATCGATGTAACATCCATCAGCCTTCAATTAGTTGGTTATTATTATTTATGTTCAGGTTAGGGTATTTATTATTATTATTATTATTATTATTATTATTATTAATGGTTTTATTTAAATTTTGTTTAATGTTAGGGGGTTAAGGTTATTGGTTATTTATTTATTACATATTATTCATTTATTTTATATATTTATTTATGGATATTTTTATTTATTTGTGTATTTATTTTATGTATTTTACATTTATTTGTCCGTTTTTTATTATTATTATTATTATGATTAGTAGTAGTATTGTTATTTACACCCTAACAATAAATAAACTCCTAATTCCTAATCCTAACCCAACCTTAACTCTAACTCCCACCCTAACAAAAAAAAAAATTATAATAATAAAAATAAAAAACGAATAAACCAAACTAAATAAAAACGGAAAAAGCTAAAAAAGCTAAGAAACCCAGCAACAAATGATATTATTATTATACAGGATTTATGGCGCCAACGCTCAGCACTTTACAACATAGCGGGAGAGACAATACAGCAACAATACAGATCAATACAAGAGGGATAGGAGGGCCTGATCCTGGGAGCTTACAATCTAAGAGGGAGGGGCTGATCCTGGGAGTTTACAATCTAAGAGGGAGGGGCCTGATCCTGGGAGTTTACAATCTAAGAGGGAGGGGCCTGATCCTGGGAGCTTACAATCTAAGAGGGAGGGGCTGATCCCGGGAGCTTACAATCTAAGAGGGAGGGGCTGATCCTAGGAGTTTCCAATCTAAGGGGGGAGGGGCTGATCCTGGGAGTTTACAATCTAAGACGGAGGGCCTGATCCTGGGAGCTTACAATCTAGGAGGGAGGGGCTGATCCTGGGAGTTTACAATCTAAGAGGGAGGGGCTGATCCTGGGAGTTTACAATCTAAGAGGGAGGGGCTGATCCCGGGAGCTTACAATCTAAGAGGGAGTGACTGATCCTTGGCGCTTACAATCTAAGAGGGAGGGGCTGATCCTGGGAGCTTACAATCTAAGAGGGAGGGGCCTGATCCTGGGAGCTGACAATCTAAGAGGGAGGGG